ACCGGGACAACCACTAGCCATCGGAACAACAATCGGGACAACCACCGGGACAACCGTGGGGACAACCATGGGGACAACCATCGGGACCATCATCGGGACAACCATCGGGACAACCATGGGGACAACCACCGGGACATCCAACGGGACAACATTCGTGACAACCATCGGGACAACCATCGGGACGACCATCGGGACAACCATCGGGACAACAATCGGGATAACCATCGGGACAACCATCGAGAAAACATCGGGGCAACCATCGGGACATCCATCGGGACAACCATCGGGACAACCATCGGGATAACCATCGGGGCAACCATCGGGACATCCATCGGAACAACCATCGGGACAACCATCGGGACAACCTCCAGGACAACCGCTAACCATCGGAACAACCATCGGGACAACCATCGGGACAACCGCGGGGTCAACCATGGGGACAACCATCGGGACCATCATCGGGACAACCATCCGGACAACCATGGGGACAGCCACGGGACAACCGCGGGACAACCATCGGGACAACCACGGGACAACCACGGGACAACCGCGGGACAACCACTGGACAACCGCCGGACAACCACGGGACACGCGCCCGCCGGGGGGGGGGAGGCGGCCCGCTGGGCTCCGTGTGGCGTCTACCAATTCAGGAACTCGCGCAACTTCGCCTTGCCCGCAACCGCGACACGGGGCCACCTCCGTTCACACCACGCAACCTCCGACATAATAGACATACGCACATGCAGGTATACATACGTAGCACTCTGCATTTGCGGATAAGAGTGATCGGGCGGGCGCGGGCGACGCGGGCGTCGAGCCGGCGGACCTCGTGGCCCTCACCTTCCCTGTCGATGGCGCCCTCCTCCTCCTCCTCCTCCTCCTCCTCCTCCTCTTCCTCGTCCGCGTCCTCGTCCTCATCGTCGTCGTCGTCGTCGTCGTCGTCGTCGTCGTCGTCGTCGTCGTCGTCGTCGTCGTCCGCCTCCTCCTCCTCCTCATCCTCCTCCTCCTCCTTTCCCTCCTCCTCCTCCTCCTCCTCCAGCTCTCCGGTCGCCGATGCAAAAGAAACCCGCCGCAGGCGCCGAAACTTTTGGCTTCATGTACGTAGTTTGGGTCGCGGGTGGGTCGCGGGCTCTCCACCTCCACCTGGAAGGGATTCAAAAAAAAACCGCCGCAGGCGCCGAAAATTTTGATTTGTACACTGGACGCTGTTTGGGTCGCGGGTGGGTCGCAGGTTCTCCACCTGGAACACATGCAAAAGAAACCCGCCGCAAGCGACGTAAATTTTGAGTGGGTCGCGGGGTGGGTCGCGGATGGATCGCGGGTGGGTCGCGGATGGTCGCGGGTGGGTCGCGGGTGGGTCGCGGGTGGGTCGCGGGGTGGGTCGCGGGTCGGTCGCGGGTGGGTCGCCAGTGGGTCGCGGGGTGGGTTGCCGGGGGGGTCTTGGGGTGGGTCGCGGGCGTGTCGCGGGGTGGGTCGCGGGTGGGTCGCGGGCTCTCCACCTCCACCTGGAAGGGATTCGAAAAAAAACCGCCGCAGGCGCCGAAAATTTTGATTTGTACACTGGACGCTGTTTGGGTCGCGGGTGGGTCGCAGGTTCTCCACCTGGAACACATGCAAAAGAAACCCGCCGCAAGCGACGTAAATTTTTAGTGGGTCGCGGGGTGGGTCGCGGATGGGTCGCAGGTGGGTCGCGGAGGGTCGCGGGTGGGTCGCGGGTGGGTCGCGGGTGGGTCGCGGGGTGGGTCGCGGGTCGGTCGCGGGTGGGTCGCCAGTGGGTCGTGGGGTGGGTTGCCGGGGGGGTCTCGGGGTGGGTCGCGGGCGTGTCGCGGGGTGGGTCGCGGGTGGGTCGCGGGTGGGTCGCGGGTGGGTCGCGGGATGGGTCGCGGGGTGGGTCGCGGGTGGGTCGTGGGGCGGGTCGCAGGTGGGACGACGGCAACAAGAAACAAGAAACAACAAACAAGAAACAAGAAACAAGAAACAACAAAAAACAAAGACAACAACAACAACAACAACATTCATTTTAAGACTCTTCGCCTTTATATGCTCGAGAGTCCAAGAACGCGTATTTCCCAAACCCTCGATACCCGCCCTCTTCGTCTTCGATCGAACCCTTTTTAGGGGGGTATACCTTTCTTCCCTGCAGGCCGGGCCCCGGCAAGCGGCGGGGCGGCCGCGGACCGTCGGCCTGGCCAGCGGCAACGCTGATCGGCGGGGCGGCCGCGGACCGTCGACCCGACCCCAAGAGGGATGGACAGGGGACCGACCACGACGACGACGACGACGACGACGACGACGACGACGTCGAAGACGACGGCGACGACGGCGACGACGACGAGCGAAAGCGAGGGCGAGAGAGAACGACAGCAGGGCCACGAAGGGCACGAAGTAGGCCACGAAGGGCGACAGCGGGGACACGAAGGGAATGCGTATGGGGCCACGAAGAGTGCGAACGAGCGGGGGCCACGAACTGCAGATAATGCGGGGCCACAGAAAGCAACTATGGGGCCACTGAGGGTAGCAACTGGGCCACGTAGGACAAGGAGGGGGACACAAATGGCGACAGCGGGACCACGAAGGGCATGCACATGGGGCCACAACGAGCGCGACTCCTGGGTGCCTGGGTGTCGGGAGCGCGGCGCTTCGGCTAATTGCAGGAAATTCCAACGCAAGGCTATTCTTCAGTAAGTTGCAAGCAAGTCTCCAGCGAGAGCGCGACTCCAGAGCTCCGGGAGAGCGATTCCTGAATAAATTGTAAGGAAGTCCCAAGCGAGAGCGCAATTCCGGAATAAAATGCGAGGAAGTCTCGGGCGGGAGCGGGGGTCCTGCCTAAATTGTAAGGAAGTCTCAGGCGGGAGCCGTTGTTGTTGTTGTAACCCAGGGGCCAGGGGCCCAGTTTGAGCAGGAAGACTTTCCCTGTCAAAAAACAGGGTGCGAACGTCGAGGGGCACACTTTGATTGAGAAAAACCGTATGCACCGGTGGGGGGGGTCAACAATAATTATTCTTCAGAAATGAGAATGCAACAACAACAACAACAACAACAACAACAACAACAACGACAACGACAACGACAACGACAACGACAACGACAACGACAACGACAACGACAACAACATCAACAACAACAATAATCCGCATCGCGGAATTTCACTTCAGCCACGCACCCAGGGACAGTGAATGACCGTTCGGTTCAGCCCCCTCACTCTGATATATGTGTATATGTAATGTATATACACCGACCTACCTACCGACCTATCTACCTACCTACATACACACATACTACATACATGCATACATACAGACATACATACATACATACATACCTACCTACCTACCTACCTACCTACCTACCTACATACATACATACATACATATATACATAAATACATGCATACATGCATGCATACATACATACATCTGCACACACACACATATATATATATATATATAGACATAGCCTACATGTATATGTATATATATATATAGAAAGGTGTAACAAATTGTCCCACCTTGGGGCGTCCGAGGGCGGCCATCGGGCCACGGGACCGTGAAAATCGGCCAGGGATGGGACAGCGGGCCGTTGGGGAAGGCGTCCAGAGCTCGAGGCAACCCGCAAAAACCTAGCCGTCGGAGGTCCGGGCCCCTGCCTGCACCCCCTCACGCGCACCCCCAGGGGGTACGGCACGTTCGTGTCGTAACGACTTGGGCGTTGGTTCCTGCTGGCGGCGCGCACGAGGGGGTAGCGCGAGGGGGGCGGCCTTCCTAGAAGGCGCGGGAGCTTCGAAGAAGGCAGGGGCCTTCTTAGAAGCCCTCCCTGCTTCTAGGGAAGTCTTCTCAGAAACTTCCAGGCCCTTCTAAGAAGGCCCTTGCTTTCTAAGCCCGCCGCCTTATTCGAAGGCACATCCCCTTCGCGCCGCACCCTTGTTCGCGCCGCACCCTTGTGCGCGCCGCCAATGGTTTCTGACACTGCGTGGATCCTTCAACCTTGAACGATCGGGGCTCCCCCAAAGCGCAGATCGTTCAGTGTCGGACGAATGACCGCTGGCGACGTTCAATTTTGAAGGCGCGCGGTGCGGTCGTCGGTGCCGAGTCGACACGGCACGAATCTACCGTATGTGGAAGGGGGGCGGGAGGGAGGCTGGGGCAAACGGGACCCCAAGGT